TGTATTTTACTACTGTCAAATTTATTGTAGTGCACAGTAAAATTTTCCTAAATACTATATTGTCCCACAATTAACATGATTTGCAGGGTAAATTAAAAAAAAATTCTCTCCGTGTACGTATAATTTTTATTAATTTGTTTTATAAGATTTATAGATAGAGTAGTCATTTATATGATAATCGTTGTATTAGAAAGGGTATTAATTTTTTAATTAATCTTCGTTCAATATCGGTACCTTTGGTTAAAATAAATATTTTGTTCAAAAATATGTCGTTTATTATACTTCGTGCCGAAATATCTCATTTGAAGCTAGATGTAGCCGTCATTATAAATAAAAATTCGTGAAAATGAAGAAAAATGAATCGCTTTTATGAAACAGGCAGACTAGTAGCCAAGGGTATCGGGGGTGGCATAAAGCACAAGTATCATTGGATCAAGTGGATCAGGGATGGACCTAAGGATCTTAACGAACCGCCGAAAGAAGAAAAAGTCTTAGATGTCTTTAAGGACGGTTGTAGAACGAGTAATGTCGCGTTGATTGGTAGCAGTCGCGAACTCAAATATATTTTAGCTACGGAAAATATGAAACCGGGCGACATAATACGTACCCATCAGGGAATACCGCGTAATCATGTGAGACCTTCGGAGGGAGATGCTTATCCTCTCGGCGCTTTACCCAACGGGACCTTCGTTCATTGTGTAGAAAAATATCCGGGATTAGGCGGGTTCCTAATTCACGCTGCTGGTACCTTCGGAACAATAATGAAGCAAGACGGGGATCGCGTGGTAGTACAGATGCCTAGTAAGAAGCTTTTTAGCCTCCACGAGACGTGTATGGCTACGGTTGGTCGATTGTCAAATATCGAACACGATTCCACGCCAATTGGTAGCGCGCAGAAAAATCGGGAATTGGGAAATCGACCAAGGAGCGGTTTATGGCAACGCAAAACTGGTAGATTCGGTCGTAAAATCAAACCGCCTCCTCGGGTACAACGTGTTGGCGATAAAAAACGAGCAGCTCCCGAAATGCTTGTTTTGAATAGTCCTCACAATGCTTAAACTATCTCACGAATAAATTGCAGTAATAAGTTAAGATATGTAATAAACACTGGTTTCGAACATTCAACTTTGAATTTTATTGTCTTCGTTACCTTTTCTCACTCAACAAGAAAAAACAGAGATCTCTTAAATTCTAAGATATTTGTTATACGTATACAGGCCAAAAATTGAGAGATATGTATGCATTTGTTTTTGGACGTATATAGCTAATTGTAAGAGGCTTGTTTCCGAATCGTAAGCAGCATGTCCAGTATTTGGAAAATCTAAAATTCTCAGAGATTTTTTGCTTGGGAATATTAAGATATTTCATCACTATTTTAAAAAATTAATGAAATTTTTGAAAAATTTTATATAAAAATTTAAATTGAACTTAACAAAGAAAATCAGAGAATTTGTTAAGATTCTTTCTTTTTCAAGATTTGAATAGACGCTCTAGTACATTGGTTTCTGTAAATTTTTATCTCACGATCACACATGAACGTCGATTATTTATAGAACTACAAGTACTAACAATAACAATCGTTTCCGCAATCATTGGAAGTGATAATTTGTGATAATATTTGCCCTTTTAAATGTTTTATTCGGGAATGTCTCGTGTACCTGAGTTTAAAAAGTAGGCCATGTTCTTGGAACGGTAAAAATATAAGTACTGCGCTGTTCTCTGTCCCGTCGTTTAAAGACCCTTATTGTAGTATACGGTCTCCAGATTGGTATCGTGTGATCTTATTTGATCTCGTATGTCGGGTTCCAGTTGATTTATCGAAATAGGCACCCGTTGTGCGAAAAGAGCGCAACAAAGTGGCGTCGCGAAAGTGAGGCACACTCCGCAAATGAGAACTTGAATAGGTCCGGCAGCCCATTTTGCATTACGCAACAGCTTCCTTCGATCTAGGTAATTCATTACTATCGGCGCCAATACTGTAACAATAATAAAATTAAATGCTCTCCATTGCACCGTCTATAAATCTTCGTACATTTATATCGATTTTAAATTATTGTTTTAAAGGAGATACAATCTATTTAAACAACAATTATTTAAAATTATTTTAAAAAATAGTTAATATGTGATGATGATAATAATATAGTTATTTATGTAATTTTTGTTTACGAATAATATGCCATTGTACATACATCTGTAAAAATATGAATATAGAAAAAGACTACATTATTAAAGTTAGCGTTAATCGCAATATTAGCATAATCGGCTCTTAGCAATAATCTCGTGTAGAGACTTGATTAATGAAGTAAGTGCAAAGAAACCTACTCATGCTTGGAGAGGCCATAAGTATTCGCGATAATGTCACAGTTGCAATCGCCTGTTTCGCCGCCCGTTTACTGTGGCCGACTTTTGTGCCGTCCTCGGTTTGTAATTCAATACCATTTTGAAGTTCAGTGACTCTCATGAGAGGGATGTTGACGCAATTAGCTGCCGCAACTGCCGCCAGTGGCACTAATCGGCCTGCCAGCGGTGGTCCACGTTGAGCGAGACGGTTCAGGGTCAACGCTGTTATCACGGCACCTCCCGTAGCGCCGATGTAACTTTGCGCTAACGTTTCTGTTGGAATTGGACTCGAACCACTACGGTTCGTGTAATTCACTATGGCGTTGAACGACTGATTGATCCATTGCCAGAAAATTACAGCCGGCGTTGATCTACGAGATTTGCAAATAATGCAGCGCGATAATAATGCAGGCTTCCCCAACAATTGTTTGAGCAACAGCTAATCAGCAATCTCGCTAACGACTCCTTAAATGATAACAATTTCCCGAACGTTTCTTGATTTTTTGCGTTACTCGATATTGAGAAATAATTGTATTGGAATTTTATATTTATTTCTATTTAAAATTTTAACTGTTTCGAAAAATGTAAAATTCGAGAAGTATAATTATTGAAATATTATTGTACTCTAATATAGAGGTATAATATATTATATTTAATACTGTTTGCTTAACAAAGCATTTAAAGTCATAGTATTTAAGCGTTCTTATCACGTTATCGCAATAAATTTTTGTGCGTTGATAATTTCGATTACGTACTTGTAAAATGTCATCATACAGCCGGTTATCGTCATGTTCATGGGAACTTGCGCGCTCATACGGCCTATTAACAGCATTTTTTCGCCAGTATCAGGGTGGTAGGCGCTATCGTAAAGATATTTACATCTCCATAATTCATCTTCGGTGATTCCTTGTTTTTCTAGGCCCTCGCCCTGTCTGTGACGGTATTAAGATTACAGATTGCTATTTTACTACTTATAAATCGTAAATAAAAAATGCATTATATTAATATAACACATGCACACATTATATTGCTCGATATTCTTTGCATCGTGGTTTGGCATACAGAACCGACATAAAAATTCTATCTGTGCCTTTCGTAGGGGCAGAAGCCGCAACGAACACGTTTAATATCTATGTAAAGGAATCTTTAATTCATGCTGTGATATCGTCTAAGTCTAATACATAATTGATTAGAACGATTGCGATGCCTTAAGCGTTTGTGTCTTTTTAGAAGGAGTCAAAAAAGACTTGCAAAGTTTATGAACGGAACTTGTATTGCACATTGTTGAGATTGAGCTGGTATTGTAATATATATATACTATTATAACAAATAACAAATATAACAATGCATAACTAGTTATTGCAGAATAATCGAACATGATAAGAAACATTCTAAGTGGCCACTTGCGAGTCGCACGCGCAGTAATGTATTCATGACAGCTGATCGAAGGTGTCAGTACTACCTTTGAGAGACTCTCAACAATTTTTTATTTTCACACCATATCCAATTAAAAAATAAAACGAATATCCTCGAGTGTTCTTAAAACAGGACAGTTTTTTTTTACAGTAATTGCCAATCTTGAAAATTAAAATTATCCCATTGCTACGAAGTTGAAGTTTTTGACAGAGTCTCCTAGACCTTTAATTGGCATGAATTGGCTAGAATTAAGGCGTAAACAAAATGCTGTTGATATATAACATTAACACATATATTCACTACATGTGTAGTATGTTATATGACGTCATCGTGTCGATTCCGCATTCCAACTGAGCGAAAGGAAAAAAAAAATTAATTACAGCGACAGACAACTACCTGTATTTCGTGACGACAACACGTGCGTGTTCAAGCTGCTGGCTTGTGGCGAAGACATTGAGCGGATTCGTTACCGTCAAGAAGTGCAATGCCCTTCCTTGGTAAGTGCTCTGATCCCAATATGGTTTATCAATATCTATCTCCTTCGACGCGTTATTTTGTGCTCCGATTTCGTTTCTTCCCGACATCTTTTCTCTCCTAACGACCTTGGACTCTCTTGTGTATCCTCTTCCTCACCCACGTTCACCTGCTCCTCCCCACTGTCACGACGACGTGCTAGCGAATCGTCGCCTTTTCGTCACACCTACACATCTGCTGAAAGCCCGTCAGTCTCCAGAGAAACGACATACGTGACGTTTTACGACCGTTCACAAGACAAGCTGATCACTCAGCTCCCAGCCGACTGACTCGCTCCAGAGTCCAGCGGCTGATTCTCCTCTCTCTCTACCACGTTCCGCTTCCACACGCTCGGCGCCGTTTCCTCCTCTTCACTCCCCTCGTTCGAGCCGTCAACTATGTCGCTGGTGGCTTTGCCTTCGCCGACTCTCATCGATAAGGTTTGGTGCGTGCGCACAAACCATCTAGTAGTATCTACGTTTAGCGGATTTACCACGAGATGGTGGCACGCAGAGTAGTTTTACGTTAAATTGATGAAATATTGATATTAAATATTAATTTTATAAACATATGACATGAAAGAAACTGAATTATATTTGATAAAATATAAATTTGATGTAATGTACATATGTAATAAAAGGAAAAGACAAAGAAAAATTGTTAAATTAATCTTATAAATATTATCTCACAATTACATTGATATTATTTGATATTTTAAATTTCTTGCAAGAGTATAGTAATCCATCAAATTCCAATATTAAGTGAAAGAGGAACACGTAGCTAAAAATATAAAGCAGAAATCAAAATGTAAAATTACAAATTTTAAGTTCTTAATTTGTTAATTTCTGAATATAATATTATATTGCCGAACAAATTGTTTATCATGAACAGGGATAGTAACAATGGAACACCGGATATCTCATTGCGATATTTGCATAGGTCAAGTTCACGGTCTGGCATCTTATTATTTAATTGTAATTGCCATAAATATATATTTCCGATTTTCAAATATATAACACCTAAAAGTTGACAAGCATCTGATGAAATGTTAACTTTGTCACATTGAAAATATAATTATTTCAAAAAGAATTTATTTGCATGAGCTTATAATTTTATTACATATTATACACACATACTAAGGTAATATCAAGTTCATACATTTATTTTTATAAATATCATTACAAGATTATATAATATTTTTATTATGCACATAGATATCGCACAAACCGAATAAGCATTGTCACCGTGTGACTGTTTGATGTATTTACATTTTTAAGTAGCTCATTTGATTGTCAAATGAGCTTTCTGGGGTAAAAAAATTCACTTTCAAGGTGATAATACCGCTAAGTGACCTTACTAATTAATCACATAGTTGTGGTAATAAAGAAACTTTTTACTGCTACGGGTACCCTTTTAGAATAATAGGATCACGTTTCTATCTAATGTATGAACATATATTTTATACTTTACGAGGTTATATTAATGTTACTTTCTCCTAATTTAATCGGCCATTAATAATTAATAGCTCATATATGTCAAGTTTTATATGTCAACAAACATATATATCGTGTGTTTTATACGTATTATTAAAATAATAACTGGTATATAATGATTTATTTAATAAGGATAATTTTCATTTTATGAGCATTTTACACATCAGATTCTAATGCAATCTTTTAATAATTATGAAAGATAGTGATCTAATTATATAATATAGTGTAATTATATAATAATACATATAATAATACAATTACAAATATATTGCCAGATTGATGATATCTAATCTTATTAAAACTTACACCAACAATTTTATAAAACACATTACAAATAACAGCTTCTAAAACAAATTAATGTCTATTTTTCTTTCTATCTATGTAATTCCTTATCAAAGTTTTTGAAAAAAGATATATTCGTATGTATAAAAATCTACTTTACTGTGTAAGATGATATTCTATTTTACTTGCATTCTTCTTTCAGAATCAGTAAATATTATGGAATCGGTAATAAATGTTCCTATTATAGCTGTTCGAGAATTAAATACTACCATGTAAATATCTGACATCAATCTAGAAACCAATATTTTGCATTGAAGAACAAGAAAGGAGAATCTATGTCAAGTCTAACTATTATAAAATGAATAAAGCATAAGAAGATCAAATGTACAATGTGATATAATCTTTTAAATTATATAGAATTATGTCTAACTATTATCATGCAAATTTGGTGTTGATACGATAGTGACATTTTTTTCACTTGTTAGCGAGGGTAGTATGTCAATTGCTGATATCAATCACTAAGTTATGCGACTTTATATTGTATTTGATTGGCATATTTTTGATGCTATTTCAACGAATGCGCGATCATTCTCCAAGCTTTCTAAACCACTTAAGATATAAGGGTAATTTGACTTGATATAATTTTAATGGCACTATTTAGATTTATTATCCTTCTGTCTTTAGCTTAATTGTTTGATACTACTTTTGTCTGATATGTTTATTTTATTTTAATTCACAATTCCCAGAGCTACTTTCTGTACGCAATTGAAACATACGGAAAAAATTACTACGTTACAACAATATTCTCTTTGGAAAAGAATGTATGTGAATTTAATTTATATTGATATTACATTGAAAACATTAAGATATACCGATCAGTACAATTTTTACAACCATAGTTTTTAAGATAAATAACATTTGGTTAGAATATCTTCATATATGGTTGTCTCAATCGAAAGATAATTGTTATCTCTTTAATATGATTTGCAGAACAAATAGTGTGATTGAGAGATCTATATGATATAGTTGCATAATACTGACAGTTTAGTTCCAGTTGTAGTAGTATTATCTGTACACATATTGTCTCGCCAAGAACAAAATAAAATGTGTGCTACACATAAGTAATGAGTATGTGTGTGTTACAAGCAAGTGTATATTATATTTTAGTAGCGAATTACTGAACAATCTAACTAAGATATATGTAGCTTATCTTATAACTCGTTGTTAAAGAGTGGCATAATTAGAGATTGATAATCGATTAATTAAAAAAATGCACTATAAATTGAATTTTATCAATAGTCAACAAATACACTTTTAAATTTTTATAGATGTCTTATCAATATTAAGAGATAATTATAATAGAGATAATTCTACCGCAATATGTGATTTTCATACAAATAAAGATTGTAAGGCCGTGAGCACAATGAAAGAAATATTAGGAACAAGAATATGAATTTCAATCTATCAGAAACTATGTGGAATACATGATTTCTGTTAGGTTTTGATAGGTTAAAATTCTTACATATAGTCCTGTCTTTCTATATAATATTTGCATTATGCTCACGACCTAAGTGCCATCAGAGATAGGATAACATAAGATAGAATATATGATCGGATAACGTATACATAATTATGGTTACGGAAACAATACTTAGAGATAATCATTACAATTATAACATCCATACAGCAGCTACTCTCATTAAAATTGGGGTAAAATATAAGTCACTTCTAGAGTGTAGATGAACGAAAAAATAATTATGTTGTTGTAACAACCCTAATTTTTTCTCCGTACATAATTATGAGTCATCAAGCTTTAAATTATTATCACGTTGCGTATTAAGCTGGGATGTTTTATTGAAATTTTTGATACAATGCGGTAACAGTTTTTAATATTGCTTCATTATCATTTTATAATTAAAAAGTAATGTCTGTTAAAAAATGAGTTAGACGTGATTGCGAACGATGTTTTATTTTTTAGAGAATCGATTTGTGAGATAGATTGTGTGTATTGAACCGTATAATCCTATCAGCACTAATTAAATGCGGTGACCGCAATAAAATCGTCGGAACGCCAAAAAAACTTTTTACAAAATCAATGCATTTCATATTTAAAATGAGTTTCGCTAATTTATATTAAAATTATCGATAATGTTGATGGAAATTATATAAATTTTTATGTAATGTAATTTCCATGGCGTTAATTTTAATTGAGATGTATGCTGTGTATATGTGTGAAATGTACATATTAAAACATTGATCTAATCACATATGCCTAATCCGCTTTTCAGACTAAAAGACGAATCTACTAATTTTCTTGTAACAAAATGCAATTCAATGTCCGCACGGTTCTAATTTATCCAATGTATGTCACATGCCTTTTCACTGTGGAATGGAATGCAGAACGAGTGCACCAATATTTTATGAAGAGTATAAATATTAAGAAAAGACATTCATGAGAGATGGTTGTATGCCAACATATCAGAGACAGAATAAATAATTAATTTGTCACAAAATTATTTTACATACTTCATTTTTTATATTTTATAGGGGCTTGTTAGGACAGAATTTATTGTTAGGCCATCAAGATAAAATCTAGGAAAACGCTGAAAGAAATAATATTGTAGCGTTAATTGACCGGGTGATAATTTACGAAACAACGTTTAGTTAGCATCGGGTAAATTGTCTTTTGACACAATCATTGCGCTAATGCTCATTTTCTCTCCGTGTCACGTTTACTACCAGGATGATAATAACATAGACGCACTACTAGCCTACTTACATGTTTGAGTGTGGACCGAAAATGAAATGTATGAAGATGGAATGAAAATATGGAATGCAGAGTGGAGGGATTGCGGAAGGTTACAGAAGTACATATTTACTATGTTATCAAGATCTATTTATTTGTGGGCGCGCATGCACTATTTCAACCTTTAGATAAGTATCTCATCTCATGCGAAACGTAACAGGTTTTTCTACGTGCACACTCTATTGAAGGGGTTCAATGTTGCATTGAAATACCAGTTACCGATAAGAACATTTCTGACATATTGAATCCAGGTATCTGCATCTATAAATCAAAAATTAACATTAATTTACCGTTAAAATTTTAGAATATACTACTTTTTTTTTAATCGGATTTAACTTTTTTGATAAATTCTATTAAATTAAGGCATAACACTGGGATTATTTTACGTATGGAAATAATTTTTTCTCTATGAAACTTTACATGTAGACATAATTGCTAATTTATAATAAGAAATATTTTTATAATAAAAAATGCAATTACTTGAAGGATAGTAATTCTTTATATACAGTAGTAGATACATTTGACTTTTATGTATATCACTTTTTTCATATTTTATTTTTTTTTACTTCATTTTTGTATCATGTGCGCGGTGTATTTAAATTGTTGATATCAATATCTATGTCTGATTTCTCGTATTACTTTATCTATTATCGTGGATAATTGTTATTCTCGTGATCGTTGACAGCGATTTGCTTCATTTGATGATATATGATCTTGACACGATAATATCAGACAGAGCGTAATATGTAATACGTAATATGTATCTCTTCTTTTTGCAACCAAATATAGCTTTATGAACGTGCAATTTTATTGGCAATTAAACTAGGTGCGGTATTATGGATCTACGTTCTGTATTAGGGTTCAATAGCTTATGCTCGAAAAAAAATGTTATTACAGTGCTTACTACTCTTTCTAATACAAAAATTGTTCCACTTATATTTACGATTTTAATTGGCTCATCTTGAATACCGTAAACACCAATACACGCAGCAAATATGAATTTAGTGCACTTTACGAGGATGAGTTTCTAAACAGCTGCAATTGTGTCCTTTTTTATTCGCACCTAGAAAGATATTTTCTACGACAGTGGCACAGTTTCTATTTCAATAATTTCACGCGGTTATGATACCAGATGCTAAAAAAATTGAATGATTCTAATTTTTCTGTTACGAATAATGATGAGCGAATCTAGTTTGACCAGGTATTATGAAATTTATATTTACGCTATTTTCACCATGTATTAGAAAGCGTAATCAAGTTTCGGCAAATATTATGTGTTCGGCTAATATTATGTAACATTCTATTCTGTATATTATATCCTTTAAAGTTATTTGTTATGTACGAAATATTATATCTATTAAAACAAATCAAAGGATTGATTGTTGAGCGATTAAATCTTTTTTGAATCGATTTCATTGATGATGTGGAATGGCAGTTGATTGCATAAATTGAGTTGATTGATAAATCGAAAGTATAGATGCAATGACTTTATCTCCATATTCATAAGATGGAAAATGGATGTAGACGTCTACTGTTTATTTACAGAGAATATATCTTCTATAGCAAATAATTTCAAATATTAATAATTAATTTTATTCAATTTATAGGATAAAAAAAGAAAAGAATAGCGTTTAAAAAGATTGATTCCGAGTGATTAAATCTTCGAAATATTTAATAACACATAAGAAAATAAATTTTAGTTTCAACTATTAATGTGATGTCATTGTATGTTCTGAAAGTGATAATCGTAAATGCAGATTTCGATCAAAAATATAGATACGAAAAATACCTATACATCTTGATTTTCTGATTCGATCGTGAGAACTTGAGAATTCGGGGAAAAAGTCATCTTCTATTTATAATACGTATACGATTGCTGTGCGACAATTTGTGGTTTATGATCTCACAATGCTGATGACAGTCAAAGGCCTTAATCGATGGTCTTCTGGGTTAATTTGAGACATTTCTCCAGTCACGAACTGGCCATTGTAGGTAACTCCAAATACGTCTTCAGGAGAATTGCTGAGCTGAATGTGAATTAATATTAATATTCATTAATATTTATTGCATTGAAAATTATACGTGACACAATATGAATAGATAGATCAATTATATTTGCAATATAACTACTTTATCCGATATAAAATATGAAGAAATTTTTTGTTACGGAATTTGGCTTATAAAAATAATTTTTCTGCGAAAATATGTAAAAGTGATTCTATATTTATAAATATTTTATTTGGATTAACTTTCATCAATATTTTCAACAATTTTTCCACATTGTTTCAAATATTTTTTAGATATTTAAAACAATGCATTTTATTCAAATAAAAATGAGTATTTAACAATATCATTTATGTGCAAGCATTTGTCTGCCATTATTTATGTAACTGTGCACATAACAATCTTTATAAAATAGGCCATAAATGTCACAAAGCAACCGTAACTAAGTCACGTAAGATAAATCTCGCGCCTCCAAGGTAGATATTAACGATTGGTTGCGGCTTTTAACGTAGAGTAAAATAAATTGCTTGTAACATTATTGTAAACGTGTACCAGCATCAAGGTTAATATCTGCGAAGTCTCGTATGCTCCTGTCTTTTATTCATTTTTGATATTAGATCTTGATTATTGTAGTTACGAGGCTGTCGAAGTGATTTACTGATAATGCTAAAGTAAATAACTCACTTTATAACCGCAGAATCTCTGTTTGCAAACAGAGATGTATATGAAGAAATTGAATATATCATTTATTTTTAGAAAGATATAAATTATGGATAGCTGTTAAAATGGATAGCTATAATAACATATTTCGAACTGCAAATTCCTATTTGCATTTTATCGCGAAGATATGCAACACTGTTATTAATCTTTATAAAATCTTGATAAAATAATATATTTTCTGGAGAATTATACTTGGAATATATAAAGAAACATGTCTTTTTCTGTGAAAATTTTCTTAGATATCTCATACCTTTTCTAAACAACGATAAATTCTTTATATTGTACGCTTTAATAAATTGTCAATTAATTGTCAGCATTCAGTTAACAAAGTTCGATCTGTGATTGATGATATGTAATGCTTAAAGAGAATACTGATCTCGCAGTTTCTTGCGCTTCTCCCAAGAATCTCCTTTCCGGTCAGGAATGTGTAACAAGCTGGAATATCGAGATCGGTAATCGGTTGCAGCGATATTACCACTTCATATCCTGTCGACATATCCCGTACTGGGTCAACCGGGCAAAGGGGTAAACAGGTTATATTGCGAGCCACCAAGCGTGCGTTTCGCCCACTCGGCTCGCCTGTGGCGCGAAGTCTTCTTCTTGCCTTCGTAATCCTCGGTAAAGACGTCGATGAACGAGCAGGCCTCTTCGTTGTGCGTAAGTACTTACTGCGTTTTCGCATAGCTCCGTAACCGCGAGTGAAAGCACGCGCGCATATAGATATGTGCTCGACATACTCGAAGAATGGCACGTTTGTTATCCACTCCTCGCCATTGCAACCCCGTCAGTGCGTGTCGCGCGCGAAAAACGATCTTTTGGTGATGTTGCTCATGCACGTGCGATAGATCAAATTTCCAGGCCAGTGGAGTAAGTCGATGTCTTCCAGCTTTGCGTACAGCAAATATTTATCGCCAGGGTATAATGGGTTAACGAATTGCGTTTCTTTTGTGACTCGAAAAGAAAGTTTAGTAAGCGCTTCCGATTTTAAGAGTTAGTTTCCGCATTCACGTAGAAGTATCATTGATTGCATAGAAGCGTCTTTTATACATATTATGTATAAAAAGTAGAAATATTAATTACAATTTTGATTTACAATTTACAGGTTTTACGCTTGATGCGTATTTGAGGTTCTCTAATTTTTATCTTTCTATAAAGTAAGTTTTTTTATATGATAATACATTATCTATATAAGTTACCAAAATTTATAACGATTGTGAATTACTTATCTGATTGGATCAGTAAAATTGTAAATAGCATAAGCAGTAATTATATGTCGTTATGAGCAATAGAAAAAGAGACATATATAGTTCTTAACTTAAAACATATGTAATTTCTAACATATGTATAATCTGTAATTTCAAGTCAAGAATGTCGTCTATAAAAACCATAAAATGAAGCATAATATAAAGATTTATATATTTTTTAAGAATATTTTCAACAGTAGATGTTTATTTCTTTAATATTTACTCTTATCTCTGTTTACTTCATGTTAATGACATGTCGTTTCAACGATGTTTGCTTATAAGTTATGTTTTAACACAAATCAAACATGCTGAGAAAATCAAACATTGATTAAGGAAGAAAAATAGTTTTTAAAAATTGCACTGGATTTTTTTAAACAGTTCGATGCGAGGCCAAAGTAAAGCAGACGACTGTCTGTGCAAACCGGTTACGGAAAGAGGCTGTACCGCTAATACGTGTGTGCATAATATCCTGATTCCACCTGAAGATTGCAATGCGTTAATAGGTCAATCAATCGCCTTCTATCCGCTTCTTGTAGTTACCCTTTACACGTTTACTGGCTGTTATATAACACTCAATTTATAACATTATACATTTTCTTGTATTTTTTCTTATTCTTGGAATAATTTAGAATTGTGAGTTTATAGTGAAAACCCGACTACGCATCACTTTTCTTCGTGTTTCTTAATATTCGATATTAGATTTCTTCATAGATTAACCTCAAATTAAAATTAAACCGGATATAATGTTATATTATCTTGAATTGCATTTCTCTGAATGTGAATTTATGAGAAATTCATAATTTTCAATTAAGTTTAGATAGTTTTAGTGGGAAGATTGTTCAAATCTTAATATTCTTTTGCTAAAAAAATGAATACTACAAGGATTACATGGGATTTGATTTCAGATTTCGCTAGTAGGAGAATATTTTCTAAAAAAACAAATTAGAGCACGCTCAATTTTATTTAATTTCCTCTTTACAAAGGGATAATTTATGAATTATAACGTTACCTGTAATTATCTACGTTAAAAAAACTGAGCGGCCGTTGCGGGTGGGTGCACCAGAAAATGTAGCGCTTCCACCAGCCGCGAGGAATGTCGCAATTACATGGAAGAGAATGTCGCGGAGAAGACCCTTCGCTGGATCTTTAATATGGCGAACGGAAGGACGGTCATTGTTCATGATCATCACGACACGTGCCGCCATTTGCTCTCTTTCTGCAAATTCGATATAGAAAATATTCTTGCTTGCTAATCGTAATATAGAACGAAAATGTAGTATACAACATTTAATACGGTGTGGTTCACCACTGTTCCTCCAGCTAAGCCTAAAGTCTGAAATATCTTTCTGATTGTCTAGTAGCTATTAGACTGACAACTAGTTGTGCAGCTGCGATATACCGTTAAAATTATATATTCCTGTTTAGTCAAAAATAAGTACGTATGCATTTTAGGATTTCCTTATTCGGTTTTAATGGATCGATAATGGGCAAGATAATTAAATTGATGCTTTGGAAGCAGCTTGATTTTTTTTATATACAAATTATGTTGAATGCTTTTTTATATTTTTTGCAAATACGAGAAAACGAAAATTATTAGCAAAGAATATTTATAAATCTACCGCAAAGTATTTTTGCCATAATTGAATAATCTTTCTGGCACTCTTTCTTCAGTTTTAAAATATTCCGTTTAATGTATCACGAATTTTATGGTGCGATGAGTTTGTTTCATTGTCATTACGTAGAATTTCCACGACTAGCTAGCGACCATCAGCGAGTTCTCGAGTGACTCTCGAGACGTCGTATCGCGTAGAATGCAGGAGCAATCTCTGCACAGTATTATCTAAGCCATGGACCGTTACCCCCACCGACCTAAATGCACACCGTATAAATGGTCAGAACACCTTCTAACCACTGTCAGTGAGCGTGTGCACCTAATCTCGCCTTTCTGCAACGTGCATCATCCTGCATCATTTTGTGAAAAGAGTGCGTGACATTATGCGATAATTCGCTTCAAATTTTATAACATCACTTATAATTTCCTTTGATTAATTTTGACATTCTCTCTCGATGTGGTACATCTCGATGATTCGAATGATTGATGCAATCCTCACGATTAAAAATGACTATACAAGAATTCGAAGCGAGACGGGTGATCATCACTACTGTCGGCAATGAAATATAAACCGATTGATCGAAGCTAACAAAATTCAAAACAATAGTGCAAAGTTAAAGTCATTGACATAAATTATGAAGTGCCAATATTTTGAAGTTATCAAATGGTCTCGCAAAATCGAATGTCCAAGAGTGACCCAAGTATCGTGCTGGATGTTTATCTTGTTGATTATTTGTTCACGACGGACTTATTCGTTGGTTTTTGATAATACAACGGATCTTTTTGTTCAAAAATGTCAAATGGACTGCAGTTTAAAAAAAGATTATACAACTTGCGGCAAATATAAAGTCGCGAAATGGTTGAACACAATAGTGAAAGAAAAGGTACGTGTTTATACTTTTACATAAAATTTAATTATATTTAAAAAATTAGCAATTAATAACTTATATTGCGTATAACATTAATTGTAATAAATAAGATACAACTGAATAAATATACTATAATTTATATTTTTTATTTTTATAATAAATTATTGAAGTATTCAATTTTTAATATTTATTATTTTTATAATTTTGATTTTATTTACGTTTAAATATTACTAACAGAATTATAACAGTATCCAAAGAATTAATTAAACGTAAATAACTCTCTCTCTGTAAAATTGATAACATATTAAACAATAACAACTGTAAATATGTATGCGTAATTTATATTTTTAAAGAAATAATTATACATATTAATTAATTAGTCAATTAAAGCAAATTATTATAATTTAGGAATTTAATTATGGGCCATTTCGAATAATAAGGATACCATCGATTTACAAGCAATCCTTTTTGCCCTATTTGCCACGTTCTCGAGCATTTAAAAGTGGCATAACGGAAGCTCTGAACTTTGTTAGAGATAGTGTAGAGGATTTATTGACAAAACGTGCCATTGTATATACGATAGACAACTCGGCAGTTGCCAGAGACTTTTCCTCGAATTTGATGTTTATGGATGAGGATGAACTTGATCGGCTGAAGGACAGCAAAGAACCGGAAGGTAAAATTTTAGCAAATTTGCTAAAAGATTAAATATTTTTGACAATATTTTTTGTTATATTATACTTTTTACAATTTCTTTTTCCTTTTTTTTAATCAGATATTCTCTTTGTCTGCGTTAAATATGATAAACTGATGATGGACATTATTGTGCTTTATACTTTTTTTTTAAAGTTTTTAAAAAAATATAAAATTCTTGTAATGATATATTGATCTCTTGGCAATAACAAAAGAAGGTGTACTTACTGTTCTATATAACGGAACATTCGAATTCTAACGTGTCCGACCATAATCGTAGCTTCTATTGCACTTTATTTCGGGTAACGGAGAACGTAACAAGTATTATCATTGCAAAAGCTATGCAATCTGCTGTAATGTTCCATATATTTCCATATATTTAAAAGAAGCGATGAACGGCGAAATGGCAGAGTTTACTACCTTATATTTCTTGTAACGGCAATGATGTCAATAGTCGTACAGTCTGTAATAATGTTTGGCGATTTTCGAGAAAGAGAAAAATAATAAGTTGTTCGCATTACAGGCGATTGGCGAATTTTCAAGAAGAAGAAGTCTATAATTCTCCCGGTTCTTATATTATTAAATTTAGTAAAACTGAAGCTACTGCTATTACCAATTTTCCTAGGAGTTCATTTTATCAAAAAGCTTCTCGTACTTGGATCGTTAATTTTACCATCAGTATTTGCGCATTTAAAGATTTGCAAAGTGCCACATTCTCATGCGCATCATGGACATCCTTTCCATCTGTGGTCCACCGCAGCGGACACATCAGCAGATTATCCAACAGGTAAAATTATTTCAGAATTATTTCTTATTTATCTTTGACAATCGCAAAAATATCATGCTAGATCAGATTATATATTTAATTATACGTACATTTATACATTTTAAAATTATAATTTTATTATTTATTCATGTCTAAAAATTGCATTTGTTTTACAATAAAAATTTGTCATTATTTAATTTTATGTTGTTGAGTTATGTATGTTAATGTATAAAATAAACTTTCTTATCAAACACAAAAATAATTGGCACAACGTGGTAGTTTGCATAATTATATATTATGTAGGCTAAGTTAAGATAGCGTCGCTCAGCTGTAACAGATGATACATCTTTACAGACTAATACACATGACGTATTTATGTTAGCATAAACATATTTAATATTGGCCAACAGCGACAAGTATTACATTTGAAACAGCTGTCAGTATTCGTTCTGATAGTGTTTTGTGTTTGACATATTTATATTCAATATTTCCTTTAATGTCACGTCACGTATCACGAATATTTGGTGTCAATAATTCTGAAACTTTTCCCACACAAAATTTGCACATCTAAATAAAGATCTTTATGTCTATTTGCTAAGAACATCATAAACTTGTAACACGTTTCGACATTTCCTTTGCAGGATATGGACAAGATGACAGTAATTGGCATAGAAACGATTACCAGTTGGGATATCCGAGTTATCAGATACTACGCAATCCTTACGGGTGAAAATATTGCAGATTGATATCGTGACCATCGACGAGAATGTCGTATTTGTTATCTTTGGATAATTTTCCGAAGGCGAGCTGTAGATGCGAGTCAATTATATCGAAGCACGCGAAATAACACTTTGACAAGTAGTGCAATTACGATTAATCTAATTGTGATCCGTGTAATCTTAGTAATCGTGTAATTTCCTGTAAAATTGCTCGTGGCAATCACGGTGAATTGATACGCGCTGAATGAACGTCGCCAAACGCTACGTTTATCTCGGCTACGCTCGTTCGTCGCTTATTCTAGCAAAGAACACTCGTGAAATAACTTTCACATAGTTTACCGTTATTTGAGGAACGTGTCGATATATTTTAACCTTTGCGGGTTTTGAGGAAGGGTACGGTGTTAAGGATACATCCGGGTTTTCCTTAAAAGTCGCATTAAACAAACGGGAACACACGGTAAAATACCGGTCTTCTTTAATTTTTTAAAATGTTAATTTATACAACTTTCTATCTTTTATCTCTCATTTCTATATTATTTATTGCTAATTTAACATTAAAATGATATCGGATACATGTTCGTTGCTGATTAGAACTGACTTATAACTCGACGACATTAATAATAAATATTTGCGAAACTTTTCTAGAGGCTTATTTATATACTTGAGTGTAATTGTAAAATTAAAAAAAAAATGCAATTATACTACTTTTTATTGGAGTTATCAAATAATAAATATTTACGTTAAAGTATAATTGTACTACAGTACAGTCAGCACGCCAAGTGTGGAGTTCATTCAGGTTTAAGTAATGCAAGTTCAATCGTCTTTAGTCGGTTTCTAAATATGATAAATACATGATTACATTGATATACCGTAAAGTGTTTATTGATCTTTGACACCATAAGCATTTGGCGTGCTCCTGTGCTGTATTTCTCACAATCTTTCCTCAAATTTCGAAGTGAAAATCGGAAAGACCATACTAGGGCAGGACTCAGGAGGATCGCTTGTGGTCAAGGTCACTCGACCGAGTACGATGGCCCCTCTACTGACCTACTGACAGATTTGGACAAGCGCCCGGTTTGTGGCTCAAACGCGTTCACGAACCAACTCATGTGTCGCTGTAATGTGTCCGTGCGTCTACTTTGACCGGTGTGTCCGTGTGCATACACATGTAATCCATGTATGAGCCGATCGAAGACCGTTATCGGCTCGCGGACAGTGCACGGCGAGAGCCCAGTCATCGTACTTGTCGTCGACATATATTTTTGGCCCCCAGATGACGGTTACAGCTGGTGAATTTTGCTCTCACCCTTTCCCTTCTTCGATACGCTTTTCTTGAACCGCTACGTGTTCATTGATAGGATTAATCTTAGTTTCCCGGCGTGTGTTTTTCTCGGACTTCCCAACGCGCGTTTCTGACGTCGCTACTCTGACTTAAACCGACTTTTTTTTATTTCATAAAGAATTTATTTTTCATTATTCTTATGATTTTTAATATTTTCTATTGAAAGAATAGATATTGTTTGTCCACAGGAGACATGTAGAATAATAAAAAGAAAGTCTTCCGACACTTTGATGGCGAGCGATAAAGTGACAACAATACCTGGGCTCCACGACGCGATAGGAAACGCGAATCGGAAGCGACACATCGCGCATCGCTACAGGATAGGCGATCGATACGCGACGTGCACTCGTCCGCGGCAACTCGACCGTTACGTTCTTACGTTATACGCGAACGAAAAAGTCGCATTAATGTAACGGACCATCGTCCATGTCACGGCGTTCGACTTGCGTATCCGTATCTGCGTCGAACGTATTTCCTGCACATTGTACGATTCATATGTACTTGATTCATGTGCGCGCATGACGTAGACGGTTTTGAATGGTGTGCGTTAAGCACCGGAGGTGCTTCTCAGGATGCCACAGATGAAGTTCACGGAAAGCAAAGCCGCGTGAACAATTGAAGGTCTAGCTTAAATAGGACAGTCCTTCCTTTTTCTTAAATGAAAATTGTTTGCGGAAGTCAAATTTATATTGTGATGAACGACTGACTCTCAGAGAAAAGATATCTCGATAATTTAATTCTTATGGATATTATATGAAATATTATGTCTGTCAGATTTTTAGTGTCGCTTGTCATACTATGTGTATGGATAATTTTTAATAAAATAAGAATAAACAAGAGAAAATTCTTGCAAATGATGATAATTAGTATCCATTTCGTTTTAATCCATTATTATTTGAAATTTTTTAATTGTGCATTGAAAATGTTCATTGAAAGCGTGTTGCATGTTTAATATTATATTTTTCATTTGTATTTGTGTGCATATGTGTGCGTGTGCGTGTGCGTGTGCGTGTGCGTGTGCGTGTGTGTGTGTGTGTGTATGACTATAGTTATAAGAAAAATAAAATTGTAGAATAATGAAATAGTTCATCCCTTTCCTTATTTGAAGTGCACATTATAATATTTTTCACATTTCGTTTTGTTAACACACCAATTGATAGAAAATTATATCATTGCATCGTATTTGTTATTTACATCACACATGTTAATATAAAAGTATTTGTAAAAATGTAATTTTTTCCATGTCAAACACATGTCATTATTTCCATGTGTTTGAAAATAAAGTATTTATAACTTCTGATTAATTTTAATGCATGGTGAGCTGGATATGAATACCAATACTTGGAATATTTGGAAAGAATCTTTCTTTTTGTCTCTCTCTCTTTTTTTCTATGAAAAGTATAATAAAAATAGAAATACAGAGGATGATTATATCACTTATGTTTTTGAAAAACGAACGAACGATTCTATATAGGTGTATCACCGCCTTGAACGTGAAACTTAAACCAAAAGTAGTGACACACTGGCATGACCCTCTTTTTAAAAAATATATACTTTTGCATAAGGAAATTTGATAAAAGTTAATTTTTTTAAATCTGAATTTCAAATTTACTGTAAAATTCTGATAAAAAGATATATACTATTTTTAAGGAATTCAAAAGAGACTTGCTTATTCTGAAATTGCTTCTTTGCAATTTAAAATATTCACATAAAAATTGCATTTAAATATTTAAAAACTGTTATTAGCATTGTCTTACACATTTGTAAAAAAATGCCGTTTTATTTTATTACCGTTTTCTACAAGCTCTTCGCAATTTACGATGCAAAATTTGTCAGCTATAAAGTTCTAGAAAATTTGTTTTTGTTTGACAACATTGGCAGCATTCTACAACGTTCTTGTAAAAATTCTTTTGGCGTTATGTTATAACGGGTTTCTTCCTTCTAACGTCAATATCTATTAGTAAATAGTATTTTGAAACACGGGGCATGTGTACCGTGATGTCAAATGTAAATGGTAATCATTTTGTAGTAATCGAATCATCTGTCAGGTCTATTATAAGACGAAAAAAGTCTGGCCGACACGTCAATGTAGAGGAAACCTAAATCAGGTAAACCAGTTTTTCGGAGGTCACAGGCATTATTCGGGAGCGGTAGACTTCCGAGAAAACACAAGAGAAATCGTTTGTAAAGGTGTGCAACCGCGATTGAACTCGTGACTAATTCGATTGGACTTGAACGAGTGATCTTCGCTGACGTCACAACCGAAGATAGTTTCCATATGAAAAGTAGATCACACAAAAAAGATTTAACAAAAATCGCTGCTTTTTGTGCTTAACGATTAAACGGATATGAAAGAGTGATCTTAACTAATCAAGCTTTATTTTTCTTGTTGTTATAAAAGAGTATAATTGCTACAAGAGATTATTGCAAAAGCTTTTATAGGATTTAGTATCACATCTTCGTTTTGAAAGATTTTATTTTGGCTGTGTGGACGAATTCCTTAACAATTTATAGTTAACTAAGAAAGAGATTTGATTATTTGTTATATATTGTACTTTATCCTATATTTCTCTTAAATAATACAAAGGACTAATTCTAAAACCATAGAGGTATTCTCAAAGATAAATATAGACTGAACCCATTGGGAACTCTTAGATTAACTTAGATTTATTTTGATCATCCCCCCTCATATATAATTTACCTCTTTTTCTCTTTCTCTTCCTCTCCCTCCCCTCTTTTTGATTAAATTAAGATCTATTCATCAATAATTGCCTTGGAGAACCATCTCCTCTCTGTGTCATTGGGCGGTGTCCGGTCAGGCTCATTGAACTCACTGATCTGGTCATTCGCCAAAATACCGCCAAGTGAAATCGTCCGTGTGGAGTATATGTTTTCAGTAGTTATAGACCATTGACAAATTCGATTGATTTGTATGAGAAAATTTCCCCCTCGACTAATAGTCATATTATAGTCGATTCTTCCTTGGAAGAAGGGTAGATCCAAAATCGAATGGCGGGAACGAATGGACGAATGAACGAACGTGGTGAGCGAGGAAGGCGGAAAGGAATGGATAGAGGGACGGACAGACGGATGGCCGGGTAACCCAGATCGGGTCAGTCGAGCCGATCCTACGGAGACCGGCTGCCAGTACAGTATTGGACGTCGTACACGATTCCGGCTTTCTGGCCGCTTGATCATTCAGGCGCGGACTGTTCGACCGGTCGTTTTTCAATATTAAAAGAAGTCATTCGGTTGCTGAAATTGACGCCGATTGTTTGATCTAGGTGCGGGCAGATTGTTAATGTCAGAGATATATCGTGAAAGTGAGTACAGCCTCATTTGCAATATAAAGTACCAACTAATAGTCTTCCATAGGTCGTCATGCATTTTATCGGTGAATGAAATTGTCTTTAACATGCACATGTAGAAAAAAATACATAGACGGAGCATTGTCAATGAGATTATATTAGAACAGAAAAGACACTTGTATAACCGTACACTTTGTATACGGTTATGAATTCTAACTGCACACGTGCACTGTTGGATCCTTAATGACTAAATTATCACTTAAATTTATGTATACACATACACATACTTTTAAAAATTTTTTATTTTTGTATTTTATTATATTATGTGTATATATATATAGATACAGTTTTTTGACAAAATAAAATGTTATGAGATAAGGATTTTTTTGTCGATTTAAACTTTTTAATTTAATTTTATTAAAATATGTATATTAAGAAATAATTGGGATAATATAGAATTATATAATTAATATTAACTTAATGATGTACCATATTTAAAAATGATAAGAGAAATATTTTTGATTATTTGTTGTTGATTGACTTAAAAAGATATGATTATATAACTTAAAAAATATATAAATTTTTTAAATAAAAATAACATATAGTTTATGCAGATATCGATAAATTGTTAGAAATAGAATTTGTTCAATTAATTTATTACCAATATGTATTACCAATATTTAATAGGATCTTTAGCAGTTTACCCATATGAATGAAAGAATCAGCTGACTGGTTACAAAGGAAAGACACATGCACGACTGATATATCTAACATAATCGAGTTTTACCTGTCTGAGAATACCATGTTATTACTGATTTTCTTACTCCATAATTTGAATAATAATAATATTAGTAATATTAATAAATTAATATTTTTTTATATATTACTGTTTATATACGTATTTTTCTTAATAATTAAGAAATTGATAAAGTTCAATAACTTAAAAATAAATATTAATAAAACATCTAGTATTATTATTTTACAATTTCACACAATTTATTTTTGTTTTTTTTAAAGTAGCACTACAAAATAATTTTATATGTGCCTATACAAATTTATTTTTGAAACTTTATGTCTTGTACTTTTCTGCTTTCTTTTTATCAGTTTCTCAATTACGAATTTATAGTGTTATTTTTACGCTTATATTTTTAGTGTAACAATTTGTTACTTTATGTTATTTAATTTTAAAGCGTGTAATTCTTACGTGTTTTCATTGATTTGTCTTATTTCAGAAAACGAAGTCGCAGGACGAGATGCAGTTCTCCTTTCGTAATAACTGTAGCTAGCCAACAGGCAATAGCCAAGCACCCGGTGCCTTTTTCATGGATCGGACAATGGCAAAAGGGAGAGCAGCCGTGATATTCTCGATTGTGCTCCTGGCTGTTGCGTGCCTTCATTCTGTCGCGGGGGTCAAGGTCTACACGGAGGTTGCGTCCTTGAACGAGACCGCGCGCCACAATGACGACATCGTCGAAGAGAACGAGGTGTCGCTTTCTCACGAATCTGAAAACAAAACTGACGAGCTCCTGCGTGATCATCCGCACAATATGCATGGAAAACCAACAAAGTTTGACATCGAGCCTCACGTGGACGACAAAGCAAATTATCAGATCGAGCCGACGAAGATGGCTAATGTTACAGCTAATCCAGTTGAAATAAATTCAACGACCAGTCAATCTCCGTTAAATTCGACAGAATGCAGAGGGAAGCTCACGGTCTCCTGTATACGGAAGGATTTCTCGAAGTTTTTAGATCAACTCTCGAGGGTTGACACGTACAACGTAACGGACTCTGTGCAGATAATAAGAAACCCTGAAACCAGCGTCGCGTGCAACGATCAGAAGAAAGACGATCCGGATTTGAATCTTCTGGACAAGGTTCATCGTTACGCCAGGACACACGTGATGAAGATACAGCTGAATAAGGATCTGAATCTTGCAAGGAAAGCCAGGACGTTCTTCGGTTGTGAGTTTCTAGACCGCTTGCTACAGATTTTTGTCGCGTGTGTACTAGTGTCGTTACTTTTGTCGATGCGAAAGGTGGATTTTATGGAACTACGATCATTTATATTGAGCGATATAATATCGATCATCATCCGTATAGTGGGATGCTTACTGTAAAGCGATTGCATAATCCCTAATTGATGCGGAGTGAAAGTAATTGAGTAGTTCATTAGAAAGGAAAACAACGCAATCTTTCGTATTTCCACCTTTCAACTTGATATTCAAGATATTTTTATGATTTCTTTTTTTATAAAAATGCAGTTATTGCAAATATTTTTTCTAAAAAATTATTATCTTTTAAAAGATAAACTATTCAAATTAATTTTTTTAACTACCTGATAAGCGACGAATCTAGTACGCTCGTAAGCACGATCTGGCATAATAAAATTAGGGTGTGAGAGAAAGCTTTAACTTCATGAATTGGCTTTTTGGAGTTAAATCAAGTAACGAGGTTGGGTCCATGCTAATTGGCAAAAATGCGAACTAAACCAGCGATAAAACGGGTATGAGGAAAAACGAGGCGTGTAACATTGTGCGAGCAGTCAAATTAATTATAATTACGGTGAATATTTTTTATTCACACGTGGAGTGTTTCAGCAAAACGCGTGGCACGTGGAGTTGGAGAAGTAGAATATGAAAAAAAGATGCTGCTTGCAGCATGGCTTGCAGGGCTAACCGCAGGGCTTTAACGAGCTGGTACTTTTGCTTTCAGCCGTGTTTCAGGGAAAGAGTTCCTTTTTAACAGGATTCGGACTTGGTTTTCTAGCATTCGGTCTGAAGAAACTGTTGCTCCCCCTGTTCTTCGGCATACAAATAATTAAGAGCGTGTTACTCGCTCTTTTCCTACCCAGCATCATCGGCAGCATTGGTAATATCGTTGGAAAAGGTACGTGTTTTACATTCGGTAAATTTTTTTACAAAAGTATTGTAAATATTTCGAAAAAATTTGTATAGTAATTAGTAACCATATGATTATATTTTATTTCTTTGTCAAAGAATATGCTATTTATAAAAGACGGTAAGTCTTTAATCAATGTTTGCGTATAATATTATTTAATATTGAAAAATTAATAAGTTTTTTTAGTAATTGATTGCTTCAAAGATAATTTTATAATATAAATTTTTACTTTTCAATCGATTTTTTATAGATTTTGTTTTTGTAAAATCTTTTAAAATTTGGAAAATGTAGTTAAAATATTGAGAACAGAATTGAAAAACAGCGTATACATGAAATTAGATCTTTGTTCATAAAACGGTTTCTCCGTCTTTTCACATAGTAGCATTAATATTAATGAAGAAAGCATCCTGAACTAAAAGTGTAAATACATGTTACGCACAAATTACAGGTGTTTCCTCCTTCGCGCAATCTTCGCATGCCGCACCCGTGGCCGGATCGGAAGAGAATTTCGAGTTCAAGGATAATGCTGATCTTTATAATGATGACTATCTGACGCGACAACCGGTAGGCACGTTACCAGCATCCGCCATGTACGACGAGAGTATGATGCAGACGCAGAAAACTCCGGATATTGCGAACCGCTATGGATTTGTCGATTCGAGAATATCTCACGCAAATGCGATTTCGGATCGTTACTATACGCGACACGTGGCTGCACACGGACTTTCTAAGAAACAGGATTTTAAGGTGAGTAATGCGCAATTACTTGCAGATCTCGTACATTTTCTCGTCACAAAATAAACGAATGGTTTTCAAGTCACCGCACCACTTTCTTTTTTTTGAACTCAAATAACACTAATGCTATCCATATATTTAACGAGGAAGTTTAAATGATGCTATAAATCAGGACTTTACTTATTAATATTTAATAGAATTCTTGATTATGTAATAGTAATAATTCTTACCAAATGACTCCTGTTAAGAAATTCATATTGTTGTTTTGCATTAAGAGTTCGCGAACAGTTCGAAAGAATTGTTTGTTAATGTTTGATCGAATAATAAACTGGGTAAGTGTGCCATTAGAATATTCATCTTTTTTCCTACTTTGGCATTTTTTTCGCACCGTCGATGAACGGAGATGACCGTGCTTTCCACCTTTGATACTATTCGGCTATTGACATCGGTCATTGAGATTCGCGCGACCTACTTCCTTGTTTGCTTCGCGTTTTAACTCGTTCGGCGTTTAGCTGCCCGCGTGTAACGGATACAGTGACCATTAAATATACGCAGCTGTAAACATGCATATTGATTATTGACGGCAGGTCTTCCACGAGATCCCGACGAGCTCTTTGCTTTTGACGAACTACGACCCGTTCTACTCGCCCCTGCTGTCACGTCTAGACGCCGTTTTCTCCCGCCTCGGCCACAACACGGAAGGCTGCAGGGAGTACGCGGTGTGCGCGATGTATCGAAGTCCCGCGCGTTTCGCGCCATACTCAAACCTGGTCTCTGCTCAGCTGTCCAGGGAGCTGAACGAGCTGAGGAAACCCAGCAGCGACAATCCCGACGTTCTGCGTTTCTTCAGATACATGAAGGCCGCCAAGGACGGCCAGGATGGCGTCAAGTGCGAAGAGATTTATGCGAATTGTGCGAACGCTCGTGAAGATCAAACCCTGAAGCAAAATCAGGCGATGCTCGCGACGTATCAAGATATTAACAAGCTCGTTCAGGCCAGAAAGATCTGAGAACGTCAACTTATTTTCGTTATTGCTATTATTAATTGCAAACGCAATAAAAAGAGGAGACGCGTCTCAGATCGCTTCGTTGAATATGCGAGCTTAGAAGCCTATAATTCTAATCGGATGCACTAGAGCAATCGCTAAGAAAGATTTAGCGTTTGTTCTAATGATTGAACATTCGTTCGTAGATATTGCGCGCGAGTAAAGTTTGTAGGTATTCTTAGTGGTGGATTACTACGGTCGCACGAAGCGTTCGTTTGGAGCTTTAAGATGCAAAATTTCGATTTTTCTTTGTCCAAAAATTTGATTAACTTTTAGAATAAAAATAATATTTAAAAGTTATCAAAATAATTTTAATTTTTAACTTTGGGATATAGTCATCTTAGATAAGAGAATCCGAAATTAATTTGCGTTTGAAGCTCCTGAGACAGTTTTAATTCGCCATTATACGAACCTTCAATTAAACAAGAGCTCTTGATGTACCATACACAGTTTCCTAAATTATCATTTGTAGCAAGGATTCAATGTTGATATTATATCACGCATCTGTAACTTTTTAAAGTCTCAGAACTGTTATTAATTATTCTTACAAAAATTCAGAATTAAGTTTATAATGATTAAAATACATTTTTTGTCATACATAAATAATTAATAAAATAATAAATAATTATAAGATATTATTTTAAAAATTATTAAAATTATATTGAAGTTTTAAATATGTTTTTCAATTGTTTATATTATTTAACATTGCTTTGTAAACATGTTTAATAGATAATACATTTTCTTGCATTATAAGTATAATAATTCAATTACAAATATAAGTTAAATTTAATGAAAGTGCATTGTAAGAGCAGAAAATGTTTTACATTTAGAACAAAACGACATTCGATCATGCCGACATAATTGTGGACAAACCAATATTAGTATAATTTTCTAAGCATTGTGGAAAATAGAAACTGTGTTGACACAATCAAGAACATCTCGATTTACACAATATTTCGCTTTAGTTGACAAGACTGGTACACGTGATTCAGTCTACTTCTCACGTAACAATGCGACTTGAAAATAAAAATGCATATGAGATCTGCTTTTAATATGAAATTATTAGAAAAATTTAATTTTTTATAAGAGAATATTGAGAAGCTTACGATCAATAATTATGCTAAAAAATATTTTCATCAAATTTAACTTGCTCAAAACTTTTGCAAACCTTAAAGAAAAATATATCAATTTCCTTAAATAGATAATTTGCACAAATAACTGTTCAGTAAATAATTTAATAATATATATAAATAATTATTTGATGAGTTGTATAAAATGACAATTATTTATATATTTAATTTATATTTATTTATTGAATACTATCATGTGTACAAGATTTAATCTTGCGATGAATGGTAGTGATTTATTTATTTATGTGACGTGAGCGGTGAGGATGAAGGTAATTCTAATTTATGTAATCCGAGCGAGAAACGTGTCGCGCAGAACGCATGTGTATTTAGATTAATTTTAATTTCATTAAAAAATTGCGACTATCCCTGTAATTGCATGATATATTTATAAATTGATGTACAGAGTACGTCAATTTAATAAAAAGATTTATGACGTCACGCGGGTTTCTCCAAAGTAAGGCAGCGCAATGCGTCAGCGTGCGACATAATCATTTATGTAATCAAAATCCTGTTTAACTATAAGACATAAAACTGTAAGACCATAAAAAAGTTTTTTTTCTTTAAAAACGTGAGTTACAACAATTGCATAGAATAATGTGACAAATTAATCAAATTTTGTTATAAATGAAATTCCGTATCAAAGATTCGCGCTTCACAGAAAAAAAAAATTTTATCTCGTATACATAGGAAAGTGATTTATAGCTCAGGAACCATATTGCGGCACGAGAAAAAGGAGTATTGGTAACGATAAGAAAGAATACCCCTTCCCTAATATGGCGATGACGCACGTTAAATTGTATAAAAAACGGAGATGAAAGTACAATACATTGACTTCCTCCCTCCTACATCGATGCGCACCTTCCATCTCAGTTTCAAGCCTACCCAGTTCCGGTTCTTATTCCGGACACCACTTTCACTTTCAATTTTTACAAATCTTCCTGTTCGCCGTTCTGGGAACGACTTACGGATCCTATCCCTCCTCCGAACTCGATAGAACGCCCATATAAATACGAAGATAGTGCGTGTGTCAAGGCGTCATAAAGTTTTCGATTAAACCTGTGTCCAGTACACGTTTCGACAAACTCGCTGTCTATCAATATTAATTAATTTTGTGGAACGTGTGGTATTCAATTTACATGAAATAATTCTCCCTTTTTACGCTCTAATTTTCAATTATTAAGGTAAGTTAATATAATCTAACATTTCCGATTATTTTCAATTTTTTATCCCCTTTTTTAGCTGTTTTTTTTCAAGTTTGAAGTTTATTTTAATAGTATTCTTTTAATTTATGTTATTAGAGAGAAAGAGAATTTTTTATTACTATAGTAATAAAGAGTAAATATATTTACTCTTATTAAACTTATTGTTTATTTATAAAATTTCGGTTTACTTATTGCTTCATCTAAAAGCATTTCGCCGATATCATTACAATTCATAATCATATGGAGCAATAATTTATTTTGCAATTTCACAACTTAACTGAAAGATTTGTGGTCAGAAAGATGACTCTGAGATATATATTACTATTATTACACAAGTGGAATACGCGCGTGATCAGAAATTGGAATCCGACACCCGTTTGCTTTTATCCTTTACTTCTGATTGGTGCGCTCATATCTAACGGCACTTGGTGAACCAGCACGTCGACTGCCAACAGTCGATCTCGCAGTTCTGTGAGTGCTGCTTGGGAATCACCACGTTTTTTGACAAGGATGTTGTGTAAAGAATATGGAATTACGATAATTTGACAGTTTGGTGAGATATCTAATTGTATTAAAATTTTCCGATTTTCTAAAAAAATCAAAAACATATAAAGTATATTCCACTGTGATCGTTATATTCCGCGTTGAATAATAATATAACTGTTTATTTTATATGTGCATCTAAAATATTTCAATTGCACATTGATTTTGCAAAATAAAGAAGTATCGTTTAAAACGAAATAACAGAAATAATTTGAGTGAAATGAAAAAATTGGTAGTTTGCGGTAGTTTATATATAATTTTAGAAATGGCAGTTAAATGGTAATCATTTGTATCGATCGATATGGTGATTTGTGTTTTTTTTTCTGATTTCTATATAGTTATAAAATATTAATAAAGAGACCCGTTATTGTAGGTGAGGTAAAGAGAAGAGCAGAATGCAACTGCAGCGATTGTTGGTAATTCTAGGAATCCTTTTGGTATTGTCTTTGCTGGCATGTTGCCAGTCTACTGGGAAAATTGTATTTCAGGATAGCACTAGCGAACATGAAGCAGATAAGCAAGGTAAGATATTTTATTTTTCGAAACTATTAATTATGTGTGTCAAGAGACGTACGGTTATGGTTCGCGTCAAATGTATGCGCGGTAGCAAGTCAAACCGGGTGTATCTATAAATAAATTTTTGTTAATAACTTTAAATAATTATATATTTAATTTGTTGCATTATAGTATATGAAACTTTCATAAATGTCTATTTTTTTGATATTACATAATTCAAATAAAGTATTATACTACATTCTCTGACGATATCAATCGAAAATCATTATAATTTATTTTAATTATTCTTTTAAATTGTAGTATTTTGTTTAATATAATAAAAAATTGTAAACTAGAATTATATACAAATTTATAATTTCAGAAAAATCCAAAGAAGTTACATCGCAACAGAGAGGATTTAATCCTGTTCAACATGTAGAAGATTTATTTAATTACATTGGTCTTGGAACTGGACAAAATGTTGATCCGTATTTGGCAAAGGTCAATGAACGTTGCTTAACTGGTGATTTTGCTGAATGTTTCAAGTCACGAGCATTAAATTATTTTTCGGACTTTTTCGATCATGCTGAATATTCCTTGAATGATAATATCCGAATTAAACGAATGTCTGATCAAGTAGTAACGGAAGTACATCGTCAGCCGTACGAATATTCTAACGATCCTAGGTATGTCATTATATCTATACAAAATATGTGATACTTTATATATGTAATTATATAAATCAATATTCCCTTCCACGTATAACAATATTTACATGCATCTATAAAGAAAATAATTTTTAATGTAAACAAATATGTTGTTCGAATCATTATAATTAAATATAAATTGCGCTTTCTTTAAATTAAAAGTACAATATGTTGAACAGATCTGGTGAAACAGAATGGGATCAAATGGTCAATTTTATGAAAAGAAAGATGGAAAGATTTGTTAAAACAATGACTTTCGAATTGACCATTCCTGACGTTGAGACTGGTTTTAATGATGCATATAAACCGAGATTTTTAAATGAAATTGCTGATGAAATCGATACGCTTGAGAACAAGAAAGATACATTATTTTGTAAGTATTTATTTTAAATTATTACAACAATTTTTCTTAAATATTTTAAATAAAGATGTTTAAGAAAATGTTTACAAAAATGCAAGAACGTAATTATATTATATATTTATACAGTAAACGCTAGTAAATTTGTTTTTATGTTTGAACAATGTAAATTAGAGGGTCTATTTAAAGGAAAATTATATTATTCTTTTTATTTTATTATAGCAATTATTAATTTCTTAATCTATGACGACTATAACACGGTTATGATAGAATACATAATAGAATGCCATTGTACATAATCAATTAATTTTCCGATTTATTGTTTGAAATTGATTAATAAATGAATGATATTTTCAATAAATATTATAAAAATAGTATGAATATTATTTTTAATAAGTATCTCATATCTTTTTATTTCTTAAACATTTTATTAGATAATTACTATTATATACAGCAATTAATTAATAATAAATAAATTTAATTTAAAAATTATTTATCGTTTTTATTTAATTTTGTATATTTTATTAATCTAAAGTTATTAAAAAAATTAAAAGCACGATTAGATTTTTTACTTAGTTAGTTAATTACTTAATTTAAGTTTATTTAATAATTTTTAATGTAAATTTATTATTTATTAAGACAAACTTTGAATCTGTTTTAGCTCGTCATCGGCTCAGAAAATTTCTTATACCATTTTTGATTATTCTAAAGCTCTTCAAAGTGAAGCTATTACTATTATTGCCTTTGGTTTTGGGATTAGCTTCATTCAAGAAATTCCTTGGATTTTTGACAATTATCATACCCGGTCTAATAGCTTTTTTTAAGTTTTACAAACCTTATCCAAATTATTATCCTCCAATATATACTAAAAACGGAGTTGCTCAATCTCCTTATGAATCACATTCGAATTTTGATTATTATGGAGATCATTACGGAAATGTAGATTCTTATGGTCACGATTTGGCATATCGTGGATATCAGCATTATAAATCCTAATCTATTTACATATTTATTACATTATTTCTAAAAAAAATACAGATTATATAATTAAATTGTTAAATTTTTACTTACAAATATTATTTATGTATAAAATGTTCATATGATTAAAAATTGTAATGCTTAGAAATTATAATAATGAAATTATATTATTATAACTACTTTTATATTAAGTTGTATTGTATATGTATTTGAATGTGCCTCAATCTTGTATTTATTTATGTGTGAATGTGCAAGATTATTTCTCTTTTCTAATAAAAATCTTGAAATAAAAATAATAAAAACTTAACAAGATTCCCCAAATAAAAAATACAAAAAGTAAGTAAGACAGATGGGAATCAGCGTGGTTATTGGTACGCAATATTTAATTTACATGTATGACTTGTCATACTTGACTTTTAGAATAAAGTAAATGTTATGTAAATTAAATATTGCGTACCAATAACCACGTCGATTCCCATCTGCCTTACTTACTTATTGTATTCTTGAAATAAACTTATTATTTTCATTCTAATACATCGATTTTTATTGTAAATTGTATGCTAATATGGTTTTTATAAATTTATATTAATTGTATATATGTTGTTATATATTTGTAGTTATGTTAGTTACGTATATAATTAAGATTTTTGTGTCGGTGTCTAAAATTTTATATTCAAAGATATTCTATTTATATCTGTTGTCGGAAATTCTTAAATCTTTCTATACACGTACACGCATAATAGCGTCCAGTCAGCTTTCTTATTGTCTTAGTTTCTACCTATTATCCCTGCGCTACTTTTATGAGATACGCTCGCAATTTCGAGAATCGATGCATAGTATGTTCGCGTGATATGATTAACTTGTTCATCGAGATCATAAAAATTATCGCAATTGGGTTAATCATTATGATATAAAATTAAGTAAAGGAGAACGCCCTTAATTTTTTTTCTAATTTACTATATTAAAATGAAAATGACGCATTTTTATTACAACTTTCCATAAAATCTCGTCTAAGTGAAAACTAATCTAAGAAACTATCATTAAATAAATGATAAATTAAAGCTTCAGCAATCTGTGCATTATAGCATCAAACAATATATAGAAGTTCATATTGATATATAAATGTATGCTTCTCAAATTAAGTGGATGAATTAATATATTTAAAATTAAGTAAACAAATGATCATATTTATTTATATTCTGTATTCTTGGTTTTTAATTTGTTCAAAATTTAATTGTATTAAACCATTTTAAAATATTATTTTAACATTTTTACTTAAAAAAAGTTATTTACAAATTTCTTAAAATTATTATACAGTTTACAATTACTATTATTACAATTTGAATATAATCGATATTTTATGCAATTACTTTTAAATGTTTAATTTTTATCATAAATTTCAAGGATTTGAAACATCCAAGAAAGATTACAGTTTTTATCGAGAAAAAAATTAATCTTCTGGAAAAAGATTTACTATAATCAATAGCGTTTATGACTCTTGCATGAGTCAATCAATAGGATGTGATTATTTAAACATTAATATGTACATTCTATACCTGTTTTTACCATGATTGTTTAAATTAGATATATATTACCATTTAGATTGATATTAATGACATAAACGTCTAAGCTTATAAATTTTTTACGTGTCAGAATATATGTATATATATACATATAATCAAAATAATAAATTTTTTTAATGTGTCTAATTTTATAAATGTGCAGTGCAAAAGAAATGAAAATTTTGTACAAAAATTTATTGTTTATAAAATATAAAATTTTACAAAAAGAGTACAAGTAAGTAAAAGCATATTATAAATTTTATATTAAATTCAATAAGATTAGAAAATGAGAAATGTTACTATTAAACTATTATTTTAACAATAATAAAGAATTTTTATTTATGGTTTTCTTGATTAAATCAGAAGATATCGTTATCTAAAAATACCGGTCGCAGAATCGCTCGTAGATAGTAGACTATTGTCGAAATGCCTCTTTAATTACGTGAAAATCGCAATGTGCGATATTACACCGGTTCTCTCTCAGGTGCACAACGGAGAACTATCTTGTACGCAAACCGGTCCGATACGATTCTCACTCGCAATCCAGAGAATCGGATAGAACGGACCCGCTGACCAAGTGGCCCCGTTTGCTGAGAAGACCGGAAGCGGCTGATCATCCCGTGATATACGGAAAGCGCAATTCGATAGAAATGCATGTTAGTTCTAACCCTTCAGAATTGCGGCATGTTAAATTTTTGTTTTTTTAATAATTACGGACAAAGAAGAAATAAAAATATGTATCTGCAATTACAAGTAAAAATTAAAATAATAGTGAGGACATTGCGTTACATTGAATTCCCTTTTCTTTTATAAAATATTGATGTAGATAATAGATTAAATTACATTGAAATAATTTGATGTACATATTTGTAATATTTTTTTATACAAACTGATTTGTTGCTAAAAAAAATAGAAAAAGAATACTATACGAAAGAATATTGAGGAATTTTCGAATACAATGCATAATACTTCAAGATAATAATAATTTGTACCTGACAGAGAAGAATAATTAATCTTTCCATGTTTGATGATCACGGGAGTGAAAGAAGATTATGACTAAGGTACAAGTTACGACGTTACAATGCGATTATTTGTCGTGCAAAGAAAACACAGTAGTACGTGCGAACTAGTGCATTTATAATAACATAAATTTTCCTAGATACGCAAGCATATATCTATGTCAAATTACGAAGGATACTGATACTCTCGCACATTGTAAGTGTAGTGCTGCAGCGAAAGCGATGTCTGCATATAAAATGGGCCGTCTGACTTTTCGGCTTATTTTCTATTAAATTGCCGGAAGTTTCCTCATGTATGAGAGGAATGAGTTTGAAAACTTTCTTCTATATACTTTCTGCATTTCTATCACTGATTTCATTTCCTATAAAGTACGTATACGCTTCAACTATAAATAACAATACGACTGTACAGTTACACGTACTAAATAATAATTCATTCTACGAGTAGATCTGATCGTTAATGTTGTACTCCTTCAGTTTGAATCGTACTATCTTTTTTCATCATCGCACAACGGTCCCAAGTTATATTGCATATTATGAGTGTGGGATCTAGACAGCTGATGTGTTTATAAAAGCTACAATATATATACATAAGTTAAAGAGAAGACATTTACGCAAGACTTTATATTTTATCGAGCATATCTTCTCACATTATTATTTGCAGTTAACGTTTATATTTTTTATAAAATTTATATGAGTAGATTTAATTTATAAAATTGAATGAATATAAATGAAAAAGCAACTTTAAATGATAATTTATGTGATATAAAATGATAGCAAAATGATTTTGCACAATATGAAATATAATTATATTTGCATGTTATATCATGCTACTTTGTTTCGAATAAAGTGTACATTCAGGATCCTGACAAAATGCCCGTCCGGAATTCGATGTAACGGTGCACGGAGCACCAAAATGCTCGTTCTCGCGAGCGCCTTGGTCTCACGATGATGCAGTTGGCGTGGGGAAAGATCAGTTAACGTGTATATGGACGAGCTTTCGCGTCTAGGTCGCGACGTTAACCTCTGTACCGCGAAAGTCGCTTTTACAAGAAAACGGGGTGAATTCAAGAACGAGAGAGGCGGATATGGTCGTTTTTCTCGATCTCCCCACGCATCATTATCCACCCAGTTAACAGTATTCGATTTATTTTTAGAGATACTTCAGATTATGATCTTAAATATTATTTTTTTGCAGACACGTCTGATTGAACGGTTACATTATATCTTTATTTTGCATTTACATGAGTAGACATAAAATTCTAGTATTTAATATTACACACACACACACCACACACACACACACACACATATATATAT